ACAGGGTATGGAGTGCCCGCGTGGGGAGCCCGTTGCGCTCGCAGAGCGGTCGTGCATCGCGTACATGGGCACGCTCGTACGAAACGGTGAGTGTAGCGGATACGGTAGTAGGTGTGATGAACGTTGAATATCTGTCCCCAGGCCGAGGCGCGGGCGTGGTGATTGCGACAGGGACGCAAACAGAGTTCGGAGTGATCTTCTCGATGATGCAGGACGTCGAGGAGAAGCGGACCCCCCTGCAGCTCAGTATGGATGAGCTTGCGAAGAAGCTGTCCATGATTTCGTTTGGTATCATTGGGGTCATCTGTATCTTCGGCGTGATTCAGCACAAGTCGTGGCTCGATATGTTCACCATCGGAGGTACGCCAATTCGATTTCTGGTGATAAGGGATCGACTGCTAACGACGTTGTTTCGGTGAAGTACAGTGTCGCTTGCTGTTGCGGCCATTCCGGAAGGTCTGAGGGGTGCTTGGGCGTGGTAGTCGGGATGGCGGGCTGTGGGCGCTCGTGCTGGGACGGATGTTGTAGCCGAGTGTAGCGGATGCAAAACGCACCAGAGAGAAACACTGACATAGACGTTTTCTAGGGCTGTATAGGGCTGTATAGGGCTGTATAGGGCTGTATAGGGCTGTATAGGGCTGTATAGGGCACGGGGGGACACTGGGGGATTGTCAGCGGCGGGAGAGGCCATTTGGGTCTTTGGCAGACGTTTTTCCAGGCAGACCTGTCGTGTACTTTAGAGCATGTACAGTACAGTACAAACAGCAATATATCTCTTTACAAGTCCAGTAGAGTTCGAGTTCGAGAGTGCGAAATAAAAGGCAACAAACTCGGACGGCAAACACACGTCACCGTACATCCCGGTCGCCTATCCGACGCGCGACTCGCTCTCTGTCCGCCACCACCTTGTCCGAATGTCAACTGCTCAATCTCAACTGCCTGGAGTACACCAAAGGCTCCGGCATGCGAGACCGCTCCCAACGCACCTCTATCAAGGCCATCCCAGCGGCGGCGGAGACAGACGAGAATGTAAGTGAGCCAAGTGTAATGCCAGAAATACACGGTATCAAGCAGCGGAGAGGGCTTGCTTGTCAAGGTACGTACCATCTCAATCCACCTCGCCGTCGCACTCCGCTACGTCCGTACCAAACAGCGGAGCGCGGCACCCGCTCGCCGCACCAGTCTTCGCAGTCAGTACCAGCCCGCCTTCCCCTCGTCTCTGCCAGCCACTCCTGCGTCCCCGCCATGATCCTCAATGTTGCGGCCAAGGCCAAGGCTACATCGAGTCAAATTGATGAGAACGAGTCATCTCGACCACCGGGGACTCAACGGTGCAACAACGCGGGGGTCATGAGGGCGCGCAGCTAGGACCCCCACCAGGTTGAACGACGAGCCGCGAGCCGCTGCATGGCAAGATTTATGGCCATGCGAAGGGCGAGCGTACGACAAGAGCGGCATTGGGACCGATGGGCTAGCCCTTGATGGACGGTGTGTCGTGGAGAGATCCTCGCGAATGCGGCCGGCGGGCCGTGAGGGATGCGAATGCAAGGTGTCCGGCAGAACGTAGTGTCGGCCGCCGGAGACGCAGCAGCAGAGCGATGGCCACGGAGGATTTGGAGGTCTTATATGGGCCAGGACAATGTCATGGTGCAGATGTGCTTAGAGAAGTACGGCCGAAAGTATTGAGCCCCTTCCCAACAAACCGCCATCTCCGAGGTACCGACCATGATCGCTCGGGGCCCTGCCGCAATGCGGACATCGGTACCGAATCTGCGTGCTCTGAGATATTAGCACAAGGTACGCGATCGCTTCACGCTCAACTCACCAAGATATCCGGTGTCACCCCGTCACAGACAAAACCAAGTGAGGTGAGTGGTAGGGCTTTGGCGGTGGAGCGAAGACTCGCTTTGCTGCGGTAGCAGGCGAGCTGCACCTAGTAGCACGGCTGCCTCCATGTCGGATGGCGAGCCACTCGCCAGTCGCCCAGATCGAGCCAGTGTTGCAGCTTCTTTGAGGTCGCACGGAGAGGCACATCATCTGTGATGAGTGTTTGTCCCCGACCTCCTCAGCCAGCTCGATGATCGTCAGCGGCGATAGCGGCGTGGGCGAGGATGAGTCTTGGCTTAGCTGTGCGCCATCGTTGGAGATGTTGAGCCACCCGGACGAAGTTTTCGGATTGCCGCTGAATGGGAACGGAGACCGTCTGGACACCTCCGCTGCCCGGAGACCTTTTGTTGCGCTCGGAGTTGCTGCAGCGCCCGGACGACACGGTCCCGGGCTGGGCAGTATCAGCGTAGATCTCTGCACCGAGAATTTCGACGGCAGTCGTGGCGTAAACGAGTGCAACCGCAAGTGCCCTTGCCATGTGCTTGAAGCGGACGAGGCAGGTGTGAAGTGAGATAGGTGTCCCGTGAGCAGGCGGCAGCGGCGGCGGCCCTAGCCACATTCTCTTTGGAGGCGATGTCGAGAGCTCGCCCGATATCGCAGGAAAGGCCGTTAACAAAGATGCAGCATACAGCATACGGAGCGACAGTGACGGCGCATTGCTGCTGCTCGCGCCGTCGCTGCGGTACGTCTTGATCGCATGGTGTCGGGTCGTGTCGATGGATGAAGGGGGAGTTGTCGGATGGAGTAGGATGAGCTGGAGATGGGATGAGGGTACGGACGAGTGGGGGAATAGAGAGACAGTGCGATTGAGCAGCAGATGACTCAAAATAGCGACACAGGTGGGTCACAGGTAACCATCGAGAAACGGCCGGCAGGAAGATGTTGTGGCTATCGGCAGGGTGCATAGTACCAAGCTCTTACGATATGTTACCGGTAGTCATTGATGTTTCTCAGGCTCATCGGCGGTGCACGGCGGAAAACGGTGGTTGTTGCTTGATGATCGTATTTGGAAGCGGAGTCAGGGCGAGCCAAGCGAGTATCGCTAAAGGCTTCGGTGCGTACGTCGCAACCAAAATATTCATCCGTTCGTTTCACAGCAACGAGTACATGTGTGTAACTACAGCGTGACTCGGTAGTGAGCAGGTAGGCCAGCAGAGAGCGAGCCAGAGTTGCACTCATCATGGATTGCAGTCGCCGGCAGCGGTGAGCAATGTATACAACGTGAGTGCACTGTTAGCAGGCGCAAGAGTGGAGAGGGAAGGCCAGCAAGAGGGTGATTGAGAGGCGCAAGCCGAGTTCGCGCTTACATCCGACGTCGTGCGGCTATCGTCCCGCCACAACCATCCGTTGCCCGCTGCCTCCAGCGTTCCTTATTTTCACCCTTCCAAGTCACCTAGAACATGTAGAAATGCGCTCAACAATACGGCTCATATGCCATCCCAGCTTACAAGGTACGTGACATTCACGAACCGTGTGTCGACTGATAATTCCCGCAACGCCATCGCTCTCGAGCACCTTCTGCCAGCTCACAATCTTCTCCCTCTCCTCCCTCTCCTCCCTCTCCTCCCTCTCCTCCCTCTCCTCCCTCTCCTCCCTCTCCTCCCTCTCCTCCCTCTCCTCCCTCTCCTCCCTCACGCTCACCTTCACACCCACACCCTTCATCTGACGTCCTCGGTGCCCGTTGCTGGCCGCATTACCCTCGCCTGCATTGCAATGGCCACCTCAGGCATGTCTGCTTTCGTCACTCCTTGGCCAGCATCACCACCTCCACCACCTCCCATCCAAGGGTGCAGGGACACAGAAGACAGTGGCAGTTGGACCTACATAAGTGAGTGACTACTGTGTTCAATACACCGCTCCTTGTCCTCACGAGCAGGCCGTTCGCGAGGGGCACATGACACAATACTCGGTGTTTTGCCTCGCACAATGCGGCTGCAGTATCGTACTTGTTGGCACATGTCACTATCTGCTTGGGCTCTGCTAACACACCCGATCTGTCCTTGACTCATCGCCCGAGACTCTATTCCGACCACTTGGTTTCCAAGGCCACAGCATTGGAGGCAGCTTCGTCCTCAAGTGATCACGTAATGGGCAAGGAATAGCTCAAGCACCAAGATCTCCAGCGGGAATATTCTGGCACACAAGTAAGTCTCGTATTGCGACTTCACAGGGAGCGGGGCGCACCATCGTAGCTCAAGGATTTTGGTATACTCCCACCAGGGCGAGTCACACGAGTTGTAGCACGGCGTCTGGCCTGAGTCGAGCAGGTTCAGGATGAAACCATGTTTTAGTACAGATGCGAACGCGAGAATGTGTGCTTTCACGGTGGCAAACCCTCCAGACGTCCTTTAACATCACTGCCCGAGAGATCTCCCAGCCGTGCTGACGGAGGCGAAGGTCGTTGAGGTCCTTCGACCTTCCCAGAGGAGTTCTTGAGGGCGAACATCTAGACGATGCATCCGAGCACCGCGCCGGGATTGGAGAAGTAGTCAATAAACCTGTGCAGGAAGGCGTTGCCCACGTGCGGGCTCGTCTTTGTGAGCATCCATTCGCATAGCAAGAGGGTGGGCACGGAAGGGCTCGGCGGTCAGAAGATGCCAAGGTCAAACAGCTTGCCACCGGTCAAAGTCGTTATTACGGCTACGGGGCGGCCGATGTGTACAGTGCGATCTACCGGAAGTCCAGATTTCCGGTCGTGGACCTACAAGGTACGCGGCAGCCTATTCACGAACACCGCCGGCTCCTGATGTGTTGTTGTCAAGGCTTCAAAATCTCATCAGAGAGTTATTTACGGCTGTACATACCATCATGGCAGTGTCTGCATTAGCCTGGCGAGACACGTCACGTCTGTGGGAAGGCTGACGAGGCGCTCTCCGTGCTTCGTGAACATGGCTGCCGAGGGTGTCATTAGGGTGCTAACTTGCGTTTGCTGTCTTGCCCTCCAATGTCCTCGCTCGCCACGAATGTATCCCGGACTCGTATAGCTATGTAGTAGTCTGTAGTATGTGTTAGGAGAGATACGGCAGCAAAATGCAGACATTATGAACATGCCTTCCTCGAGGTCCCGCCCGCCGCCAGCAACCCTGCTGATGCAGCGACGTTTGGGCGTGCTTTTGGCTTGGGAAAAAGGCACGAGAATGCTGTCCGAGTGTGTCACGCATAGTGCGAGCCGTTTCCCAGGCGGTCGCATGCGTACACGAGGCGGGAGACCATGTTGCCGTGTGGAAAACCGGTCGAAACGACCGCATTACAAACCGCTTCGTACCGTCCCGAAGTGAGTGTTTCCCGTGTCGTAACCGTGCGTCCGTCAGGTTTGTATCAGTTCCCCGCCACGGGTAGGCATATTGCAAAGGGAATTTGCAATTTTGCTCAGATTTCCTGTGTTTCTCGCAGAGAACGTCTCCTTGCGCCCCAAATCCTGCCTTGTATGGATGCAACGTAGTTGTCCCACATACGCCTAGAGTGCATGAACAGTATTCAAGTTGTTCCGAGGCCGCCGGGCCAACAGCGCAGCTGGTACGCCTATCTCGTCCTCAAGGTACCAGCCCAACGCCCATGGACCCGACGGGAACGTGGGATTGTATAACTGCTTCTTGTGCTTGGGAAAAAGCTCGGATGAGCAGGAAATATGCACGCTATCCCCCCTGCATCGTTTCCGTGGTGTTCAAACGCAGATACGGCGCAGGAGAGCGCGCGCACTTTCGGACGCAATGAAATCGCCCGAACGTGCGCAATTTTGAAAGTCATCCACGGACGACGAAACTGGGTGTGATCGGTGCGGAAAATGCAGCAGATCATGTTTTCGGCAGCCTCCCGGCCGTCGCATGAGCACACGAAGCGGGGGAGGACGTTCTCATTCAGAGGCCATGAAATCGGCCAAAACGACGACATTTGAAACAGCCTTGTATCCTCCCGAAATTTATGCTAGCTGTCGCATAACGATGCACACGTCGTTTGATGAATGGTATCCTGTCAATCGGGGGAGAATTGCAAGAGAGAATCGCATTTCTGGCTAGATTTGGTACATTTCCACAACAATTCGCCCCCTCACGACGCAGACACGGTGTTTCACCAATACCCGCTGGCTGTCCTGAGTACCCCTCGCACCATATAGCAATCCAAAAATCAATTCGAGGCCGTCGGACAAGCGACGCGGCCGGTACACCCATCTCGTGCTCGAGGTACCGGCCCAGCGCCCATCGACCCGACCAAAACACCAGTTCTCAAAACACCTCTCCAGGCTGTGAAAACCATTCGCATACGTGGTCCATAGGTGGTGCACGCTGTCTGCGCAGTTTCACCGCGTCCGCATGCAAACACCGCGCGGGAGAGGGCGCGCACTTTCGGACGCAATGAAAACGGCCGAAAGTGCGCAATTTCAGAACTTGTCAGAGCGCGGTCGAATCAGTTTCGTTCGGTGCAGAATGAGCCGTGGAATGCGTTACTGACAGTTTCCTGCCGCCGCAGGAGGACGATCAACAAAAAATGCATGTTTCGGTGTGGCAGCCCGCCGCCCAATGCTCGCCATTTCGCAAAGTCCTGGGAGCGTCGAGTCACAGCGAGCCGAGCGAGCATACTTCGCGCAACGCTTCGGTACGTGCGTTGCAACACGGGTATCCATTCGTTCGATTTCCGAATCGACCGGTACATGTGCGTAACTACAGCTACTTGCGCCCACCACCGCCGATGTTTCCAGAGTCCCAGCACCAACTGGTGCAGCCTGCACACACCATCCCAGACGTCCGTTGTTGCACCCATTGCACAACATCCCCGACGGCGTGCGCGCAGAGGGAGAGGTCACAGGTCAGTATCGCCTCGGCAGCCGTGGTCGTGCAGCACGGCGGTCGAGCGATACCGTCCCTGCCACGGTGCGAACGTGATGAGATGACTAAACTCACCTGATTGCCCACGGCTGCGTCGTACCCCGCCGGCGGACTTTGCGAACGGCGTCCGCGTCTTCGAGCGACGGGCGGACGCCGTGCTGTACGTACAGCGGCAAACGCCCCGGGCCATTCATTGTTGCGTCGCTTTGCTCGCGTGGAGGGACAAGCGTTGAGATCAGCCATGGCAAAAAGACGTTGGACGGTACGTCTACCAAGGCGGCAGGCGGCGACGATCGAGCTGTCCGCACGGTCGCGGCCGTACGCAAGCTCGACCGGAGCGTGTTCGACGATTGTGCAGTAGCAGGACATGGCCGGGGGGGGGGGGATGCGCTGCGTATTCCGTCATGGTTCGGCTCGCCCGCGTCATGCTTGGGTGGGGCTCTTACGTCGCACGTCGCGGAACGGTCTCCGCGTGCGCTGTTCGGGCCCGTTCGAGCCGACTTGCGTACGTCCAAAGTACAGGGTCGAAGGACGGTGGGGAGAGGGCGAGCGCGGTTCGCGCTTAGGATGGCCGGGCGACTGGGAGGTCGCCGTCGAATGGCCGCCGGTGCGAGAGACGGCGGGCGGCTTGGGCGAGCGTGTGCGTTTGGGGCACAGGGTGGTGCCGGACGATGGGGAGCACGCGCTTGGCGTGCGTCCGTGCGTAAGCGGCGGCGATCGCAGAGAGACGGGGCGAGACGAGACGAGACGGATCGAGATGGGACGGACGGGTTGCGAGGGAGGACGTACGAAGCGGGTTGGGAGAGATCAGCCGAGCCGGACGGGTGTATAAGAGGGGGGCGGAGCATAGGCTGGTTGTGCAGGCTCGCTGAGCTGTTCCTGCCCGGTTGTCTGGCGTGTGCTGTGGTTCTGTTGAGGGCGTTTGTGCTGTCCTGCTCGGTCTGGTTGTTGACGGTGTGGTGATGGTGAGTGATGCTGTAGCGGCGGGGAGAATGAGCACTGACGATGGTCGACATGGCAGCTTCGGCCAACTCATGGACCGCGACGGGCGTTGACCGCGACGGGCGTTGACCGCGACGGGCATTGACCGCGACGGGCGTTGACCGCGACGGGCGTTGACCGTGCGGACAAGTCGATGAGGAGGGTGTAGACGGCGACGGGCTGGTGTTGGTGGGACGTTTGGGACGGCGGTGAGGTGTTGTCAAAGTCGGTTGGGGTGAGGGGGAAAGGTAAGCGGATGGTGTGTGTTGGAGGGCAGAGATCGGAGGGGACGAACGCAAGGGATATTATGGATAAGGCTCGGTAGATGTCATGTACTCACCGAATGGGATTGGTTTGCGGCGTAGTCGGCCTGTCTGGTGAGAATGGGCATGTAGGTCGAGAAATGATGGCGTTTGTCGGGCTGAGCACGGTGAGGATGTGGGTGGGATTGCTCGCAGTTGCGTATGGTCTTGACCGTGCGGACAACTTGATCGCTTGCTCGCCCTGGCCTTGCATGTCAAGACGGCGGACGAAAGCACGGGCATGAGTGACCTCGAAGGACGCGAGCGCTCGAGTAAGAGCTCACCGCCTGCATTCGTGTGCTTCCTTTTTGAGGCGTTGGTGCGACGGTGTTGGTGCGACGGTGTTGGTGCGACGGCGTCGGTGCGACAAATGAGGGTATACGGCCTGCTATGGACGAGTGCCGAGTGCCGAGTGCCGAGTGCCGACATGCTCTGCGCGGTGCATGTACTGTGTGCGGTGCAGAGTCACGCTCGGAGTGCGCAGGGGACGAGGACGGCAGAATGCAGTCACTGACCGAAACCTGCGCAGCAACTTGAGCTCGGATTCCGGAGACGAGGACTGGGGCGGCCTTGGGACTGAAGCTGGAGCAAGCAGTGCGGAAAGCGACGAAAGCGAGCAGTCCAGCCGCGGAGGGCAGCCAATGAGCGCGCCTGACATGTGTTCAACAGCCAATGGGAGCGTGCGCGCCCTGTTCGTCAGTTCGATCCCGGAGTTGGCCAAACATTTTGCGTGCATGTTTGTCCGACCGTGTCTATTTCCGCGTGAAAGTACTTGGCTGCCACCACTTGCTCTGCTACCTCCAAGACCGACTCTGCACTCATTCTGCGTTTTATCTCACCTGGCACGGACTGTGGGTACACTCGTCGACCGCATAACTCTCCTCGGTGCTTCGTCTCGCTATGGACCGCAAGCGACCCGGCCAAGCGTCCTCCTCTTCCGGTCGTGCAACGTACTCGGCGAGTTCCCGTGCTCCGGTATACGCCCAGTACCGCAGCGAATCACCTCCAGCATCGGCATACTTCTCCCATTTCTCCGGAGACCACCATGAGGAACCTCAGCCCACACACCCGGACGCGAACGCGCACTTCGCATACAGCACGACGCTACGGAGACATACTTTGGAGGGACCGCTTGGAATCCCAGCGACACCTTCGGGAAGCAGCATGCCGTCGTTAGGAGAACTCCGGGGCGCAATGGAGACGGAGGGCGTAAAGGGTGTCTGGGTCCGCGACGGTCGGGAGGCTCACGGCTGCGTTCACG